GTCTTATTCATTCTGGCTAGCCCATGTGCCCTCTAGCAAAAACCTCTAAAAAAAAAAAATGCAATGAAATTAATTCAAAAAATACATTTTCTCTCTCTTTGGCATTTATTTCAAGGTATTTTTCATGTGTCGTAATCTTGTTTTGAAACTTTTTTAGTCACATTTTATGATTCTAAGACCCACTGTTTTTCATATTTTGATATCTAGGAACTTGGCGTTCAAAGATAATTATAATGTGCAATTATGATTTGCAGTGCTTTTCTTCTTTCTCAGTGGGACGTAAAGATTGACGTGTCTTACATTCAATGGCACTTAGATCAGATGAAATGTAGCATTTTCTTTTTAAAAAACATTTATTTATTTATTTGTTTAAAGAGAGAGATTTTTGCTATAGGGTGCATGTGTTTACCAGAGAGACAGAAAGCGAGAAATCACCACCCGGGGGTATGGCCATGTTACAATCCCTTCTCCTCTACTTTCTTGGAATTTTGGGCACAAATACATACACACCCAGTGTGCTTTCTCAAGCCTACAGATCCAAGACTCGAACCTTATAGTTGGCTATGTGGGATCCGGTCACCTTAACCACCTTGCCACCTGCTGACCTGAGAAGCCTTTTTTGCCATCCCTCGTTCATGTCTGCTAAGAGCACTTGTTAGACCTCCTCATTGGAAAGCTGTGGTCATGGACCGCTATTCTGCCGCGGGCCCTGAGAACCCACATTCAAAATGAAAGATGTGTTCTTAGTAAAATAATGGATTCTGAGGATTAAAGTCTGCCATGTGAGTTATTAAAAGGGGTTGAATTGGTACATGAAAAAAGAGACAGAAAGAGTGAGTGGGATCCACTCTTGCCAGATATGGATGACAACATGAAGAGTAGTAGACAGGACTAGCAGGTGGCATGGTGGTTAAGGTGCTGGACTCCCACATGGCCAACCATGGTTTGAGTCCCAGACCTCGTGGCTTGCTTTTCCACCTTCTTCACCCCCCATCTCTCTTTGGTGAGCACATAAACCCTACAGCAAATTAAAAAGTAGTAATAGGGACCAGTAGACTGTGTAATGGTTGTATTCCTGGACTCCCACATGGCTGTCTGTGGTTCGAGTCCCAGACTTGGTGGCTTGAAACTCAAACCAGGCATGTGTGTGTGCATGCCCCAAATCCTGAGAGGAGAATGCAGAAGAGACTGCGGTGTGGCCATCCACCCTGGGGGGGTGATTTCTCACTTTCTGTCTCTCTGGCGAGCACACGTAATAATAATAATAATAATAAATTAAGTAAATAATTCTTAGAAAAAAGTGTAGTAGACCATGAACAAAACCCATTTCTAGCTTGCTTGTGTTTATACAGTTCTGATTATTATTATAATTACACGAGAGAGACCACCAATAAGCAAAGTTTGAAATTTTCTAAAGACAGAGTTCATGTAATTAAAATGAAAACTTACATGCTTTTGCCATACTGGTGAAGTGTTCTGTAACATACGAAGGCATGGATGAAGGAGAATGAGTTGAGAGGGCTAGAATTTCTGACATCATTATCATTTTTAGTGTTTTGGATATTCCCGGGAAACTTTCTGGACGCCGCTGGGAATTTCCTCTCCTGGACTTGAATAATATCCTCCTATTATTCACAGGAAACAAGCCTCCTATAAAGGGGTCCCGGCAGAAGCAATGTTCGCTGTTCTTGGCTGACTTTGCCCCGGACCTGCCAGACGGCACCAGACGGCACGAGAGGGCAGCGCGGCCCCGAGGACCCGACGCCCAGGCAGCTCTGCACGGGTGGCAGGTGCTTGACTCCTCACCGATCAGCGGCCCCCCGCGCAGGCTCATCTGTACCGTCGGGTGTGCCAACGGCCTTCCAGGTAAGACCCACGCGCTCTTCTTGCCTTTTCTTTTCAACCTACGTGATGGGAATCTTAAATGTTGCGTTTATTCTTCCAAATAAACTCCGGCACGAAGGCGGGCTGTGGCGCTGGAATCCTGTGCGGGATGCCCCAGGGTGGCCTGGCACACCGCGGTGGAGCGCTGCGAGCGACGGCCTGCCTCGGTTTCCTCTGCAGTAACCCTCTGCTCTTTCTCCTCAGAGACACACGTCGAGTCTGACCCCTCGGGGGAAAGAAGTGCAGCCATGACTGGGCCACGCTTTCTCTCGGCCCTCACTCTGGGTGAGTGGGTGTCGTTTAGAACAGGGTTTCTCGTCCTGGTGCTGCTGAGGTCAGGGGCTGGGACATGGCAGGGGCGCAGCAGCGCACACGCCCACAGGCCAGGGAGGGCGGCTGGTCCCCACTTCGCAGCTCTGTATCCTGGTGTAATGGTGGAGCACAGGGACTCTCCCTGGGCTGTGTGAGGGTGCCGGACCCGGCCCATGAAAAGGGCTTCGGTGGTGCCTGTTGGCATCACTTCAGTGCTCGGCAGGGCCTGTTATGCTGACCGGCGCTCTCCTGCAGGTGGGCAGACTGTGAGGCTTAGTGTGGGAGAGCGCGGCCCCGCACCCCGGGGTGGCCCTGAAGGAAATGCTACGTGGCGGTTTCCGTGCACCCTTCGTGCCTTGGAGGTGAGCACTCGCAGTGGCAGAACTAACCGCCCTCTCCTCCCTGTGCCCAGTGCTGCTCGCCGCAGAGAGCTCAGCCTGGTCCTACAGCGCCTCCACGGAGACCATGACTTACGACGAGGCCAGCGCATACTGCAGGGGGCGGTACACGCACCTGGTGGCCATTCAGAACAAGCAGGAGATCGAGCACCTCAACAGGGTCATGAACTACTCGGCCAGCTACTACTGGATCGGGATCAGGAAGGTCAACGGCGTGTGGGTCTGGGTGGGGACCCAGAAGCCTCTGACCAAGGAGGCTGCCAACTGGGCTCCAGGAGAGCCGAACAACAAGAAGAAGGACGAGGACTGCGTGGAGATCTACATCCGGAGGGGCAAGGATGAGGGCATGTGGAATGACGAGCCGTGCAGCAAGAAGAAGCTGGCCTTGTGCTACACAGGTAGGGCACAGCCCAGCGAGCCAGGCTGCACCTGGGCCGGCTGCGGCACAGGAACGCCCTGTGCTCGCAAAGACAGGAGCTGAGAGTATGTTTCACTGCTTCTGGGTGGGAGTGTAGGCAGGCGTGTGTGCACATGTGTATATGTGTGCACACATACATGTACATACATATATATGTGTACACCTGCATGTGTGCACATGTATATATGTGTGTGCATGTGTATGTGTGCGCACGTGTATATATGTGCGTACCTATGTATGTGTGTGTACATGCGTCTATATGTGTGTTATTCTATACATACGTATATAGCATGCGTGTACACACACGGACACGTGTTTCCATTGCCCATTCACCATTGGTGGGAGAACTATCTTCAGTCTGTGATAACGTGAAATTTCCGTGCATGTGCCGGCCACTGCCATCCTCCCGAGGACCGCACAGTAACTAAGGCGGCGTCTAAAGTAGATGAGCCCGAAGCTCCGATTCGCATGCTGTGGGGCACCTCCGGCAGTCTCCCGCGCTCTGTGCCATCAGGGTGTCTTCCCGGCACACTGCTGGTCCCTATTCAAAGCAGCACCAAGGCCCTTCTCACTGTGGGCTGTTTTCCGCAGCTGCCTGTACCCATGCTTCCTGCAGTGGCCACGGCGAGTGTGTGGAGACCATCGAAAACTACACTTGTGAGTGCCATCCCGGCTTCAGCGGACCCAGGTGTGAGCAAGGTGAGTGCTGTCCGCCCTGTCCTCCCCTCGCGCTGGCCACACCAGCCCCGAGATCCCGCTCTGCAGCCTGGTCTGCTGTCTTCCCTTTGCTGCTGCCTGTGGTGTGAGGTCGCGGCCGACCCTGGGTTCCAACCCAGACTCACCAGCTGTCGGTGGGCTGCCTCGAGGAGGTGGCAGTGAGACCCTCTGGCCCCACTCCTTCGCTGTGAAGTGGGCGTGAGCATGGTGCCACCTCCACAGGCTCGTGGTCTGGTGGTGCTCCGAGCAGCAGGGACAGCCCCAACGGGCTTGGTCCTAATTTCCTACACGCTGCAAACTGAGCTGTGCTTTAAGTGACATTTATGGGTGATTCATTCTGAGGTTTGAGGTTAAGAAACCTACCTATTTAATTCAATGATAAACCTAGGATTTTTGCTTCCTCCCCCCCCTCCATGATTAGCCTCCTCTTGTTCTGGCCCACCAGAATTTTCCTTCTTCATTCTCAAGAAAGCAACAGAGGGGCAGCCCTCATCTCTCCAGCAGAGCCCACGTCCATCTGTAGCCCCCTGGGTAACCAGGGAAATTTAAGCAGGGCCTTTCACTGGCCCTGACCCAAGCTCCAGCTCCTCTGGCCCCGGCTCAGTTCTCTCAACCTTAGAGCCCCCCTAACCAGAAAGGGCAGCCCCTAGCTCTCCATCAGTAAGTGACATTTATGGGTGACTTTCATGCTGGCTCGGGGACTCGCCCTGGGTGTCTCTGTAACGCCTCCTCTGTCTGTCATTTGCAGCGGTACAATGTTCAAATCTGACTGTTCCTGAAAAGCTCAACATGAGCTGCAGTGGGAAGCCTGAATTCGGCACCGTGTGCGAGTTCGCCTGTCCGGAGGGATGGACACTCAATGGGTCTGCAGCGCTGACCTGCAATGCCTCGGGACACTGGTCCGAGCCACTGCCTACCTGCCAAGGTGACACACTGGTTGGGGGCGGCACCAGATATCCAGTTAATTACGTGATTGCAGAAGTCAGAGCTGATGGGCCTCATCCTCTTACAGCTGAAGATTCATGTCGCAGAGCCTGTGCTCGTCCAGGGACAGCCCGGGAGCGCTCTGTGACACCTTAGCTTCTTACCCGTGCTTTGCTGAGATGGCTGTGTGGGCCCTGGCATGGAGTAGGCGGAATTCTTCAGGGATATCACATTAGAAACACTAAAAAGCAGAGAGCAGGGCTTGACTAAAACCTCGCTCATACCTTCTGAATTGCGGGTGTCGGTTACAGAGACAGTCCTGAGGCCGAATATACTCTAAAGCAGGGGCAATGACATTGAGAACATGCGATGTGCGTGTCCCTGCCAGGACTAGCATCCCCATAGCCAAATTCCAGCGGTGAGACGCTGCAATGCAGAGTGGGCAGTTTCACTTGCGTGCCTGCTTCCTTCTACTCCTGGCACCATTTGTGGGCATCCAGGCCTGTGTGCTGCTATCTGGATGCATACACTCTTCCCCTGACCCTAACTTCTCCCACATGCCAGAAGAACAGGGCTCAGAAGCAGTGCTCCCGTGAAAGCCTTCCTTTAATCGTTACCTGTGAGGGCACTGGATTTTAGAGCCAGCACAGCCATCTTCCCCGTTGTCCAGGAAATAGTGGAGACTCTTGAGCTGTCCGTGTGTGTGTGTGTGTGCGCGTGTGTGTGTGTCCGTGTGTGTGTGTGTGTCCGTGTGTGTGTGTGTGGCGGTGTGTGTGTGTCCGTGTGTGTGTCCGTGTGTGTGTGTGTGTCCGTGTGTGTGTGTGGTGTCTGACATGAACCGAGAGGCTCATTAAACACCAGGTTCTGCCCATTTCCACCACAGCATTTTCTGACCACTGTTCTTCTGTCTCAGCTCCCCTGTGCAGAGCCCTCTCCGGACCAGAGCACGGCTACATGGATTGTCTTCCTAGAGCTTCTGGAACATTCCAACATGGGTCCAGCTGTGAGTTCTCCTGTGATCAAGGATTTGTGCCAAAGGGCTCCAGGAAGCTCCAGTGTGGCCCCACAGGGCAGTGGGATGGCGAGGAACCCACCTGTGAAGGTAAAGTCTCTGTTTTTATTTTGAGATTAAAAACTATCAAGGAGCATAGAGACTGGGTTACCTTGAGAAATTCGCCACAGCCCAGTGCAAACCTCTAACATGCGGGCTCATGTCTTCTAGCTGTGAAATGTGACCCCGTGGACCAGCTACTGAGGGGCACGGTGAGGTGCTCCCACCCCACTACTGGGAACTTCACCTACAACTCCTCCTGTGCCTTCAGCTGCGAGGAAGGCTTTTCACTACAAGGATCACCTGAACGGCAGTGCACGGCCCAGGGGCGGTGGACACAGGAGGCTCCGTTCTGCCAAGGTAGGGCTGGGCTCAGACCTTCAGGGTACAGGTAAACGCCACAAAGGTTTCTGAATCTAGACTGCCCCAACGGGCTTGATCCTAATTTCTTACACGCTGCAAACTGAGCTGTGCTTTAAGTGACATTTATGGGTGACTTTCATGCTGGCTCGGGGACTCGCCCTGGGTGTCTCTGTAACGCCTCCTCTGTCTGTCATTTGCAGCGGTACAATGTTCAAATCTGACTGTTCCTGAAAAGCTCAACATGAGCTGCAGTGGGAAGCCTGAATTCGGCACCGTGTGTGAGTTCACCTGTCCGGAGGGATGGACACTCAATGGGTCTGCAGCGCTGACCTGCAATGCCTCGGGACACTGGTCCGAGCCACTGCCTACCTGCCAAGGTGACACACTGGTCAGAGTGGATGTCTGGGGAGGGAAGAGGGGTGAGCTCACCACAGCAGTCACTGTCCATGACGTCCAAACCTGGTGTCCAGGCTAGCCAGCTGGTAAACATTGAACTTCAGGGGATAGAGAGAAAATGGGAGAGGTCAGTGGTGGGAGGGGTGGAATTCTGGCACTAGGAAAAGGAGACCTGGAGAGGAAAGGAGGAGGGGAAGTGCAGGATGAGAGAGAGCAAGAGCGAGCGAGCAGTCTGAACCCGGTCGTGGTGTGGTGCTGTGCAAGAGCGTGGTGAGGCGAGGCCCTGCCCGGCAGTGGTTGGGGAGAGCTGAGGCGGCTTGGGCAGCTCTAAAGGATCCCCTCCCTGCCCCTGCCTCATGCATGACCAGGAGACTCCCCTGCTGGTGGAGGTCGGTGCACAGAGGCCCCTGGGCGGGATGGGGAGAGGGAAGCCGGCTCCTCTCCTGACAGCTCCCCTTCCTTCGTCTTTCCTCAGCTCCCCCTGCGTCCAATGTCCCCTTAGTGGTTGGACTGTCTACTGCTGGAACCTCCGTGGTGGGGCTGACATCGTTTCTCCTCTGGCTTCTGAAACACTTGCGCAGGAAAGGTGAGGCAGTTCATGAGTGTGCACGTTGTGGTTTCTCTTGCGAATCTGAACAGTAGGTAGAAGCTGGTTTAAGTAGGCCCTAACACATCGCAGCACACTTACGCAGAAGTCTGGGGGAAAGCACTCACAGTGCAGCTTGCATCGATAAGGGCTGTGGAAAAGGTGCTCGCCGTGCCGACACTGCGCGCCTCTGGCGGCTGCTGCTCACGCTGACTGCTGTTGTCCCCTGGAGTTCTGCAGTGAGACTGCCCGGGCCCGTGCTCCTGGGAGAATGCAGAGAATTCTTTCTAAAAAGATTCTGAAATGCAGGCCGATGCCGGGGACCCAGCCACACTCACGGTTTATTTGGCCTACAGAGGATTTCAAATTTGTAAATTACGTACGCAATTTATAATATTTATTGTTATTTTAAAATTTGCTATAGGGCACGTGCACTAATCAGAGAGAGACAGAGGGAGAAAGGGAAGTGAGAAAGCAAGCTGCCAGGTCCAGGACTTAAAGTCGGTCAGCTGTGTGGGGGTCCAGCACCTTAACCACCATGCCACCTGCTGCCCTCATAGGCTTTCAAAATGTCTAACGTTTACAAAATAGAAAACTTCACATAAAAATGCAGACTTTGGATGTCCTGTGAGAAACTGGACGATGAACCTGGGGACCTGAGCCTATAGCTCCTTGCTTGTACGAGGAAGCTTTGCCCACGTCGCCCCCACGCCATGTTTGCACACACGGATGTGATAGCCCCACTAATCAAGCCATACTGTGTCTGATTCTTTAAGTCCTCCAAAGTCAGTCTGAATTAATGCTTGTCTTTCTCTTGCAGCTAAGAAATTTATTCCCGCCAGGTAAGTTGCCTTCTTGTGCTAAGCATGCCCCGGGGTCCTAACCCTTTCCTCTCCTCACGCTGGGAAGCAGCACTTTACATATGCTCTCGTGTGTTCCACAGCCGCCGCCAAAGTCTGGAATCGAATGGAAGCTACCACATGCTTTTTTGACTCCATCTGAGCTCCGAGTAATCAGGTGAGACTGCCACTCACACATGCTTATGAGCGAGGTACTTTGTGGGTTCTGCGTCTCCTCAAACCTTCCAAACCAGCCAATTTCTAAGGGGACAATCACTTCTTGGTATTTTCTGGAAAGTAATTTTATTTCTTTGTAGGAGGGAAAGAAACAGGGGCCTGGCTCTTGAGTCATTGTTTTTATTACTGTTACTGTATTTTTACATTCAATCACTGGATGCCATTACAAAGTGCCCAGTGAGTTTGCCCATCTGGAACACCTGTATATTAGTCAGGCAAAGATATCACCACACACGTCATCCACAGGCCACTTCCCAGCTCGTGGCCCTTAGATGTCCTGCTTCTCTCTTTCCCCCGATTCCCCCCCTCACCCTCCCCATTTCCCACCCTCCTTGTGGAGGTGATTATGGTGGTGAGAGCTGAACCAACCGGCGCTCACTGCTGGTGTGCAGGGAGCTGCCCCGGGCTGGGACCTCTATTTAGTAAGGGACGGTAGAATTTTCCTGTGTGCTAGTCACCACTCTCAGCGCACGGATGAAGAAAACGAGGCAGAGACGCTAAGTAACTTGCTTAAATCCCCAAACTAGTAAGCGATACAGCCAGGATTCAAACCCAGGCAGGCCGGTTCTAGAATCCATCTTCTTAAACCACTCTGCTCTCCTTTGTGAAAATTTGGAAGGATCAAGTTTCTTCGAATAAGTTTTTTAAAAAAATTAATAGACCTTATTTTTTGTGTGCGCAATGTTAGGTTTGCAGGAAAATTAAACAGTTCCAGCATGCCTCCTCACGATCACTCTCCATTTTCCCTATTATTAACATCTGACATCAACAGAGTTCATTGATTACAATCGAGGGCCAGCATCAACACGTTATCATTAGCTAAAGCCCACAGAGGTGAAAGACATTAGGGCTCCTTTTTCCTGTTGCACATTCTGTAGGGTCCACCGTCAGGATGTCACCTCCACAGTCCTCACTGGTCAACTTTGATGTTTGTGTTTGCGCTCCCCTACGGGAGTGTGCCTGTGCACCTTCCTGCCACGCTCTGGACTAGAGTGCAGTGTCCTGATCATACTTCTGCTCGTGTCTGCAGGAACCCAGGTACCTCCAGGGCACCAGAGCGATGCCCGGCAGAAGCTGAGACAGGGCGCTCTCCTCAGGTCTTTGACGCCTCACCTGCTGCCTCTCCAACTGGGCCACAGCACCCGCTGTGACTTCAATGGATTCAAATCCAACGAGCAAGCCAAGCTTCCCCCGAAAAGACTGTTTCCTGGTCTCAGGATGAAGTGCTGGCTGCCAAGGGAAAGGGTATTCTTTTCAAGCAAAGGCAGAGACCGGGGCTCTGAACTCGCTTGGTTTCCTCGCTGTGAAATCTTGGTGGGCGAACAGTACTTTATGAATTAGTTTCTTTCACCTGCCCTTCACAGTGTTCCAACTGCTGATTAAATAGTTGCAGGTTTGGCAATAAATAATAATTATCAAGAGTTTAGAGGAAGCAAATTGGGCGAAAGTATTCTATTTGTAACATGAAAAAAACCACTACACTTTGTTAATGGCCACAGGTGAATACATGGAAGGGTGCAAACGCTGCCAAATGCTCTGGGCAGAGCTGACAGAGCGCAGTCCGGACTGCTCGTACCCTCCGGGGTTCGGTGCTCCCGAGTGCTCTCGGAGGGCCTGTCCTTACTTGCACCGAGCATAGTACAATCTTCCAGGACTCTTGATCCACTGTAAGCATTATGGGGACTCAAAACAACTGTCAGTGCCGTGCACCATAAAACACAAGAGGTTGTCCTGGCCAGGTCAGCACCTCTTTGTTTAATAAGCTCTCGTTTCACATCGGCACTATGGTTATCAAAAACGGCAGATGTAGTCCCCTTGCCAGGCGTGCTGCTCACCAGTGGACAGTTCGGAGAGTTCTCACCCCAGCAGTTGTTCTGTAAAACAGGGAAGTATCAGGAGAGTGAAAATGGCATGAGGGGTTTTTTTTTCAGGTGTTTTTTTGAAATGTGCGGTTTCCATGTTGAAAACATCCATGAGGCCAACGGTTCGGATATAGCAAAAGTATAAATTGAGACAAATGACGGTACTGTTTACTGAATGTCTTAGTTGAAAAAGCATGTAGAAATATGAAGATGTCTGTCAGATGTGTAAATGTGTAATTTTGTATTTTACATATAACTTTAAATCCATCATAAAAAAAACAACTCACCATATGAAGAGCTCATGGAGCAAGTTTTAAAAATATTGAGATGTCTAATAATAGTAGTCTAGCTGTCTTATTTCATGTGTTAGGATGCCTGGAAGAGGGAAACACGTGTGAGCAAGTATTCGTGCTTATTTATGAGCAGCCTTATTTTTTGTGTGCGCAATGTTAGGTTTGCAGGAAAATTAAACAGAGTTCCAGCATGCCTCCTCACGATCACTCTCCATTTTCCCTATTATTAACATCTGACATCAACAGAGTTCATTGATTACAATCGAGGGCCAGCATCAACACGTTATCATTAGCTAAAGCCCACAGAGGTGAAAGACATTAGGGCTCCTTTTTCCTGTTGCACATTCTGTAGGGTCCACCGTCAGGATGTCACCTCCACAGTCCTCACTGGTCAACTTTGATGTTTGTGTTTGCGCTCCCCTACGGGAGTGTGCCTGTGCACCTTCCTGCCACGCTCTGGACTAGAGTGCAGTGTCCTGATCATACTTCTGCTCGTGTCTGCAGGAACCCAGGTACCTCCAGGGCACCAGAGCGATGCCCGGCAGAAGCTGAGACAGGGCGCTCTCCTCAGGTCTTTGACGCCTCACCTGCTGCCTCTCCAACTGGGCCACAGCACCCGCTGTGACTTCAATGGATTCAAATCCAACGAGCAAGCCAAGCTTCCCCCGAAAAGACTGTTTCCTGGTCTCAGGATGAAGTGCTGGCTGCCAAGGGAAAGGGTATTCTTTTCAAGCAAAGGCAGAGACCGGGGCTCTGAACTCGCTTGGTTTCCTCGCTGTGAAATCTTGGTGGGCGAACAGTACTTTATGAATTAGTTTCTTTCACCTGCCCTTCACAGTGTTCCAACTGCTGATTAAATAGTTGCAGGTTTGGCAATAAATAATAATTATCAAGAGTTTAGAGGAAGCAAATTGGGCGAAAGTATTCTATTTGTAACATGAAAAAAACCACTACACTTTGTTAATGGCCACAGGTGAATACATGGAAGGGTGCAAACGCTGCCAAATGCTCTGGGCAGAGCTGACAGAGCGCAGTCCGGACTGCTCGTACCCTCCGGGGTTCGGTGCTCCCGAGTGCTCTCGGAGGGCCTGTCCTTACTTGCACCGAGCATAGTACAATCTTCCAGGACTCTTGATCCACTGTAAGCATTATGGGGACTCAAAACAACTGTCAGTGCCGTGCACCATAAAACACAAGAGGTTGTCCTGGCCAGGTCAGCACCTCTTTGTTTAATAAGCTCTCGTTTCACATCGGCACTATGGTTATCAAAAACGGCAGATGTAGTCCCCTTGCCAGGCGTGCTGCTCACCAGTGGACAGTTCGGAGAGTTCTCACCCCAGCAGTTGTTCTGTAAAACAGGGAAGTATCAGGAGAGTGAAAATGGCATGAGGGGTTTTTTTTTCAGGTGTTTTTTTGAAATGTGCGGTTTCCATGTTGAAAACATCCATGAGGCCAACGGTTCGGATATAGCAAAAGTATAAATTGAGACAAATGACGGTACTGTTTACTGAATGTCTTAGTTGAAAAAGCATGTAGAAATATGAAGATGTCTGTCAGATGTGTAAATGTGTAATTTTGTATTTTACATATAACTTTAAATCCATCATAAAAAAAACAACTCACCATATGAAGAGCTCATGGAGCAAGTTTTAAAAATATTGAGATGTCTAATAATAGTAGTCTAGCTGTCTTATTTCATGTGTTAGGATGCCTGGAAGAGGGAAACACGTGTGAGCAAGTATTCGTGCTTATTTATGAGCAGGGTTTACAATTTGCGTGCTTGGTTGACCACTGCCAACAAGAAATTCGTGGCCAGTAACCGCCAGTTCGACTCCAGGCTGGCGGGGTATGAAAACCAAAACTCCTGGGCTAGCCCGAAGCCTAGTGTACGAGGAGACTCAGACCCCATGGCTGAAGGTGGCTGGGATCCCAGCCCCAGTGGCTTGAACAACATGCCAGGTCCATGTGCGTGCCTCAGGCCCAGACAGCAGCGAGAAGTGGAGGGGCAGGGATCGCGTGTGAAATGCCTACTGCAGGGTGCTTTCGTCCTCTCTTTCTCTCTCTGTGTCACTCTGGTGAGCACACATTGTCTGACAATGAAAAGAAAAAAGAAAAGAAAGAAAAGGAAAGGAAAAGGAAAAGAGAAAAGAAAGCCCAAACTCTCCTGCACTTCCACAAACGAAGCACGTGTGAGAAAAGGAGCGTTTTGGAGGCGTGCCGGCTGATGGCTGTCCAGGGCAGAGCTGGCTGAGCGGGGAGGTGGACCGCCAGAACAGGGCAGGGCTGAAGAGGTGGAGCGACACTGGGCAATGGCAGGGAGACAGGGCCCAGCACTGCGAGCAGGCTAAACATGGAGCGAGTTACCCTTTTTCCTAAAGTTGTCCAAATGACATGACTGTTGATCTGTCTGTACTGCATTAGAAATAACTGTGTGGAGTATGAATGTGTTCTATGTTTGGGTTTTATAAAGTATTTTAAATTATGATTTTAAATGTTTCATGATTTTCAAAGTATTTATTTAAGCTTATGTTAGACTTGCTGTAATTGATGGGACACTATAAAATTTGACAATAAACGCGTATCTACTTCTCTCTGTGTTTAGGCTCCTTTTTACATATTTTATTTTATTTAGAAAAAAACTGGCATACTATAAAGTTCACCCTTTTAAAATGTATGGGTTCATGCCACCATCAACACTCTCAGAGTCCAGATTTCTCTCTCCCCACAAAGAAACCCTGTACGCACAGCAGTTCCTCTCCAGTCTTTCTTCCCTGAGCCCCCGGCAACTACAAATCAGCTGTCTTTCTCTAGAAATTTACCTTTTTGGGCATCCCATAGACATAAAATCACACAATGTGGGGCCTCTCGTGTCTGGCTTTTCCATTAGAGCGATGCGTGCCAGGCCTGCCCCGGTAAGGTGGGTCCCAGCATCCTCAGTCCTCACGGCCGGTGGCTCCACCATGGGGATATATAGTGCTTGGTTTCTGTGTTCACCCAGCAGCTGACGGGCTTTGGGCCGTTTCTGCTTTCTGGCTGTGGTCAACGGTGCTGTGTGAACATCTGGGCACAGGTTTTTGTGCAGACTTAGGTTTTCAGTTCCACCAGGCATATCCCTAGAAGTGGGCCCGTGAGGTCATATGGTAACTTTATGTTTCAGTTTTTTAAGGAACTACCAAGCCGTTTTACTAAGAGGCTGCCCCATTTACAACCCCACCAGCAATGCACAAGGGTTCCAATTTCTCCACATTCTGGCCAGTACTTGTTGTTGTTTTTTTTTATATCTATCTATCTTTTTTTTTTTTAATTTTTTTTTTGAGAGATTTTTCACTGTAGGGCGCGTGCGCTCGCCAGACAGACAGAGAGAGACATAGAGACAGAAAGCGAGAAATCACCCCCCAGGGGGGATGGTCACGCCGCAATCCCTTCTCCTCCATTCTCCTCTCGGGATCTTGGGCACGCACGCACACGCGCCCAGCGTGAGTTTTAAGCCACCGGGTCCGGGACACGAACCGCGGTCGACTACGTGGGAGTCCAGCGACATAGCCATTACGCTAACTGCTGGTTCCCTTTATATCTATTTTTTGAAAAAGTTTGTCAAGTCCCTGAGTTGCAACCAAAGACTCTGCAGCTTCCCTCCTTGAATCCCCTCGCTTCCCACTGCACCCCTGCCCACCTCCTGCTGCTGTCTGCTACGGCCCTTCCACAGAGGAAAAAGGCTCACATCCCATGTCCATCATCCACAACCACTCTCTACCCCCCCTTTGCTGATGCAAGTAAGGGTGGTGACCTGCTTCCTGCTGGCTCTCAGGGCTATAGCTGTATAAAATTCAACAGAGAAATGGCAGGAGACCCTTACTATGTCCGAAGGGTCTCAGATGGTCATGATAAAAAGAAACCAGTGAAGGCATTTATGAAGAAATCTGCCGCGGACGTCCTGTGATTGCACACCAGAATGGGGCGTAGTAACTCCCCTGCGGGTTGACCAGTGCGGAGACAGGACCAGCCAGCTAGTGCTTGCGACTCACTGAAGCTTATGTGAGAATTTCCTTGCAGTGGGTAGAACTTCCATACTGTCCCTTCTCACAAGTTTAAACACCTCACAGACTGCATAGTGTAACCATCTGGGGTCCACTTTTAACTTGGACTGGTGTAATGCCATGCAATACATTGCAAAGAGCCCTGCTGTCCGGTCTTGAAGTCCCTCATTTAAACAGAGGTCAAGGAGCAGGGGCTCCACCTCCCCTGCCCTTGGACTTCAGAGCTCCTGGTCCGCAGGCCTTCCGCCTTCGGGAGTCCTCTCCTGGGCCGGCCTGCTCTCTAAGCTTCCTGCCTTCCTCGCAGAACTTTGGCAGCTGCTCAACTCCAAACCCCAGTAATGGGGCTTGTGGGTGTCATTGCGAGGACAAAAAACAAGTGAGAAGATGGGGGTCATCAAAGGAATGGGAAGTGGGCAGGGCACAGATACTGGAAAATAAACACTGAGGCGGGTAGAACAGACAGAGGAGCTGCCGCCCGAAGGAGATGCCGGCTCTAGACCCACTCACCTGGAAGCCGAAGCCTAAGCCACGCACACAGTGTGTGTGCTCACGTACACACCTGCACACATGTAGGGGCATGCAAACTGCTGATTTCTAGGCTCAAGCCACAGGCTACTGTGATGCTAATGAAGGGGGAGTGCTAGGCTCCGTCTATCACACCGAAGTTGAGTTACCTAAGCCCGGGTCCCACAGATGTCCTCACATAGTTAACTGTTACGTGTTTATGAAATCTGCAAAGCAAGACAACCTTGTATAAACCTCAGGTCCTGCAAACGTCTGAATCTGCCTCTGACCCAACCCAGAATATTTTGATGCAGTAGGGTTGGGAGGATAGTGCTGCCATGGCCAGATTTGAACGTCACTGCAGGAGGCTCTGGATCGATGAGTCTAACGAGTCCCTCCTGTCTAGGTGGTATTTCTTTCTGGAGCTTCGGGACACTGATTGGGACATAAACTGTAGACACTATGTAGCTTAGACAAAGCTGATGCTCACTTCCAAGGTACAGCCATGACTCCCGTAACTGGGGACCAAGTAGTTAATTCTCCATTTGTATCTACTGGCTGTAACAATAAATCCTT